CACAACAGACACCCTGTGAGGTAGGTGGGGCTGAGAGAGCTCTTGACAGAAACTGCTCTTTTTCAAGAACAGCTGTGCCAGAACTATGGCCTGCCCAAGGTCATCCAGCAGGTGCAAGTGGGAATCAAACCCAGTTCTCCCCGATTAGAGTCCGCGCACTTAACCACTACACCAAACTGGCTCTCATAGTACTAATAAATGATGGCGGCATTGCCTTAGCATCTAGATGGTCAAACTACCACCACAGTCTGAGTTCTTGCCAGGTTGTTAGATATTAAGTTGGTAATGATGTTGGGGAGGTCGGGGCCTCGATGTTAAAAGGCAGCCCCTAATCGAAAGCCTAGGAGCTGCGGTGGCTCAAGTGGTTAAGATGCTGAACTGCCGGCTGTTGAAGGTCAGTAGTTCAGCCGTTCGAGACCCGAGTGTGCCGCAAGACGGAGTGAGCCCCCGTCTCTATCCTGCCAACCTAGCAGTTCAAAAGCAAGAAATTGCAAGTAGATAAATAGGTACCACTTCGGTGGGAAGGTAACAGCGTTCCGTGCGCCTCGGTGTTTAGTCATGCCGGCCACATGACCACGGAAACGGCTTTGGACAGCACTGGCCCTTCGGCTTTGAAACGGAGATGAGCACCGCAACCCTAGAGTTGGATTTGACTGGCTTGCGAGCAAGGGAAGCCTTTACCTTTACTTTTAATCGAAAGCCTGCTGGAAGAGCTCCGTTTTACAGGCCCCGCAAAACTGTAAAGGGTCCCGCAGGGCTCTGTGCTTGTGAGGAGAAAAGGAGGAAGGGAGAACTGTGTAAGTTACGATGAACTCCTTGGAAAGTGGGATGAACATTGGCTGGAGAGAAGGAGCCGGTAGAAGCTGAGCTGAGGAAGCCCAGGACGGAAGGGACAGGTGCAGTGTTCCCTCGAAGCCGAGTTAGTGTGAGCTAGCTCACAGTTTTTTAGCCTCCAGCTCACACCTTTTTCTCTTCTCCCAGGAAGGAGGGCTTCGGAGCAAACTGATTTGTGCAGTACATAAGAACATCAGGCCAAAGGCCCATCCAGTCCAACACTCTGTGGCCAGAAATACCAGGTGCCATCAGGAGGTCCACCAGTGGGGCCAGGACATTAGAAGCCCTCCCACTGTTGACCCCCCTCCCCCAAGCACCAAGATGACAGAGCATCACAGATGGACAGAGCCACCGATGGACCTCTGCTCCATATGCTTATCTCATTCCCTTTTGAAGCCGTCCATGCTTGTAGCCGCCACCACTTCCTGTGGCGGTGAATTCCAAGTGTTAATCACTCTTTGGGTGAAGAAGGACTTCCTCTTATCCGTTCTAACCCGACCGCTCAGCAATTTCATGGATTGCCCACGAGTTCTTGTATTGTGAGAAAGGGAGAAAAGTACCTCTTTCTCTACCTGCTCTTTCCCATGCATAATCTTATAAACCTCAATCATGTCACCCCTCAGTCGTTTCTCCAAGCTAAGATCAGCTTCCATCTGGGATTTCCAAAGTTCTGCAAGTTCCGACTCCACAGCTTAGAGGGAGCATTGACCAGGTGGATGCACGTTCCAGCCCTGGAAAGTATGGGAAGGGACTGTG